CGCGCGAACATCGCGCGTGGTTTTAGTTTATGTATGTATGTATGTATGTATGTATGTATGTATGTATGTATGTATGTATGTATGTATGTATGTATGTATGTATGTATGGGTGTATGCATGTGAGTGTATATGTATACGCGTGTAGGCGTATGCACACACACACATATAATATATATAATATAATATATATATATATATATATAAATATGTATATGTTATTTTGTATGTATATGCGTGTATATATATACATATATATATATATATATATATATATATTTAATCGCTTCGCTCATTCCGCCGGCCCATACAGTCTCATGTCTGCCGTTTGCCCGAGGGCCTGGTGTCAATGCGGCGCTTTGGGGGTTCCTGGGGCCGCTTGGGGGACTCCTGGGGCGCTCGGGGGGGCATTTGGGGGGCCTCCTGGGGCCGCTTGGGGGACTCTTGGGGGCCTCCTGAGGGCCTCGTGGGGGCCTCTTGGGGCCTCTCAGGGGCCTCTTGGGCCCTCGTAGGGACTTCTTAGGGCCGAGGGCTCGAAATGTTCGTTTCGTGTTCCCTCTCTGGGGCCCCTTTGGGGGCGTTCTTGGGGCCCTCTTGGACCGTCTTGGAGGCTTCTTGGGCCGTCTTCGAGCCCTCTTGGGCCATCTTGGGGCCCTCTTGGGGGCCTCTTGGGCCCTCTTGGGGCGAGCTTGGGGGCCTCTTGGGCCGTCTTGGGGCGTCGGGAAGCCGAAAAGGTGGAAGCTCCAAAATCTCTCAAAAACCTAAGGAAAAACAATGAATTTTGCCTCCGGGGGCCCTCTTGGGAGTGCTCTTGGAGGCCTCTTGGGGCGTCTGGGGGCTATCTTGGGCGTCTTGGAGCGATCTTGTGGCATGTCGGACCCCTCGTGTACCATCTTGGGGGCCTCTTGAGGGCCTCTTGGCCTTTCTTGGGGCTCTCGGGGACGTCTCGGAGCCCTGTTGGTGCGCTCATGGAGCGCTCCTGGAGCGCTCTGGGGGAGTCTCCCGGGTATCGCCCGGGGTTCGGTCGGGGGACTTTTCGTCCAGGGACCCCCAGGGGCCGCCCCGCGCGCGCGAACTAGAGAATTGTTAACCAGTTACCGGAGATCTTAGCACGCCTTTGGCCCGTTGGGCCGGCGAATTCCCAACCCTCCTGCGTTGGGTTCTCGTTTTGAATAGAGCACTGCGCGCGCGTCTCCTTCCTTCCTTCCCGCCCCTCTCTTCCCCCTTGCCTTTCGCCTCGCTCGTCGCTGCGTGCCAGCTGGGGGGCTGCGATCTGTGAAACTGTGGCCACTTTCGAGGCCTGCTGGGGGGCCCAGCACAGTGGGTACTCACGGCAGACTCAAATGGGACCTCGCCATCCCTGGGGGGCTGCGATCTGTGAAACTGTCGCCACTTTCGAGGCCTGCTTGCGGGGCCCAGCACAGTGGGTACTCACGGCAGACTCAAATGGGACCTCGCCATCCCTGGGGGGCTGCGTTCTGTGAAACTGTGGCCACTTTCGAGGGCTGCTGAGGGGCCCAGCACAGTGGGTACTCACCGCAGACTCAAATTAGACCTCGCCATCCCTGGGGGGCTGCGATCTGTGGGGGGCTGCGATCTGTGAAACTGTCGCCACTTTCGAGGGCTGCTGAGGGGCCCAGCACAGTGGGTACTCACCGCAGACTCAAATAGGACCTCGCCATCCCTGGGGGGCTGCGATCTGTGAAACTGTCGCCACTTTCGAGGCCTGCTGGGGGGCCCAGCACAGTGGGTACTCACCGCAGACTCAAATTTGACCTCGCCATCCCTGGGGGGCTGCGATCTGTGAAACTGTCGCCACTTTCGAGGCTGCTGGGGGGCCCAGCACAGTGGGTACTCACCGCAGACTCAAATTAGACCTCGCCATCCCTGGGGGGCTGCGATCTGTGAAACTGTCGCCACTTTCGAGGCCTGCTGGGGGGCCCAGCACAGTGGGTACCCACGGCCACCTCGCCATCCCTGGGGGGCTGCGATCTGTGAAACTGTCGCCACTTTCGAGGCCTGCTGGGGGGCCCAGCACAGTCAAATTAGACCTCGCCATCCTGGGGGGCTGCGATCTGTGAAACTGTCGCCACTTTCGACTGCTGAGGGGCCAGCACAGTCAGATTAGACCTCGCCATCTCTGGGGGGCTGCGATCTGTGAAACTGTCGCCACTTTCGAGGGCTGCTGGGGGGCCCAGCACAGTGGGTACTCATCGCGGACTCAAATTAGACCTCGCCATCCCTGGGGGGCTGCGATCTGTGAAACTGTCGCCACTTTCGAGGCCTGCTGGGGGGCCCAGCACAGTGGGTACTCACCGCAGACTCAAATTGGACCTCGCCATCCCTGGGGGGCTGCGATCTGTGAAACTGTCGCCACTTTCGAGGGCTGCTGGGGGCCCAGCACAGTGGGTACTCACCGCAGACTCAAATTGGACCTCGCCATCCCTGGGGGGCTGCGATCTGTGAAACTGTCGCCACTTTCGAGGGCTGCTGAGGGGCCCAGCACAGTGGGTACCCACACGCAGATTCAAATTAGACCTCGCCATCCCTGGGGGGCTGCGATCTGTGAAACTGTCGCCACTTTCGAGGCCTGCTGGGGGGCCCAGCACAGTGACGCCACACGCAGATTCAAATTAGACCTCGCCATCCCTGGGGGGCTGCGATCTGTGAAACTGTCGCCACTTTCGAGGCCTGCTTGCGGGGCCCAGCACAGTGACGCCTCCCAAGTAGCTTACACATCAAGTTGATTGTCCATACAAGTTTCGGCCAACTCCTCGTTTCCATTGATACACATGGGTTGGGTACGTCACAGGGTAATCTTGAAATGCGTGTATACGCATACGCTAAACATATGTATGCGCATATGCATGTGCGCGTACATGAATGTATACATGCATGTATATATGATTGTACACACGCATATATATATATATATAGGTATGTTTGTAGGCAGGCATGTCTGTATGCATGCATGTATGTATGTGCGTGTATGTCTGCATGCATGTCTATGCTCACATGTATGCAGTCAAATATGTAATACTGTAAATCTGTGTGTATGTAGATATAGTTATGCATGGGTGTATGCAGATGCATCTATGTACATGCGTACGTATACTTATATCTCTCTCTATATATAGGTTTAGCTGTACGTTTTGAGTATGCGCATGTTCTTGTTTTATGCCTATGTACTTGTATATGTACCTGTCAATGTAGATGTACATGACCATGCATATGCACAGGTGCATGGACATGTGTACGTATATGTATATGTATATGTCTGTTTCCATGTACAGTTTTGTATGCCTACGGCCTCTAACTATTCGTGTACGCACATGCGTAGGTCTATGTACATCCGTATACAGACGCATATGCATTGGTATATGCACCTGTCTATGTTTATGTACATGTCATGTATACTTACATATCGGTCTATGTGTACATGTAAAGGTACATGTCTATGTAATATGTATGAGTGTGTGTACATATATGCATCTACATGCATATGTTTAGGTATAGGTGTATGTCTATGGCGATGCCCATGTCTATGTCCATGTGCATGTATCTGTAGATGTGTATGTGTCTGCATCTGTGCATTTCCACGTATATGCGTGTGTATGTTTTTTTTTTGTTCTGTTTATGCATGTCTATGTATATATATATATGTATGAGTATGTGTATATGCATGTGTAGGTGTATGTGTATGTGCACGTGTTCGTGTATGTGTAACTGTATATGCATATGTATATGTATATGTACCTGTAGAAGTATATGGTCATCTTATGGACATGTCGTGTATATGCGTTTATCTATATGTGTACGTGCATGTATTTGTAGTTGTATCTGCATATGTACAGATATACGCTTGTGTACACGTGCGTGTATTTGGGCACGTATGTATAATTTTTTATGTGTGTGCACATGTAGAGTGTATGCATATGTGTATGTTCATGTGTGTATGTATGTGTACGGACTTGCATCGGTACATATAAATATATGGACATTTGTGCGTCTGCATTTGCATATATCAATGTATGTGTGTATATGGTTGTATGCATGTAGGTCTGTAGCTATGTAATTATGTACGTATATACAATCACATATTTGTATATGGGCAGTCCCCCTCCAGCATCACCTTCTTTCTGTTGACTAGCTCGTACTGCCCTTTTCCTTTGCTCGTCCTCCTCTTCCTGTCCTTTCCATCCCTCTCTTCGATTGCAGATTCCCCAGACGTCTGCTGGCGCATTTTAGGCGTATGCACATGTTATATAAATATGGTGTGCATTCACATATACAAATATATGTATATGTATATGTGTATCTATCTGTATCTGTATATGTATATGTATATGTATATGTAGATGTAGATGTTTATGTATATGTATATGTATATGTATATGTATATGTATATGCATATGTTTTGTATTTGTATATGTGTGTATATGTATATGTACATGTACATGTATATGTATATGTACATGTATATGTATATGTATATGTATATGTGTATGTATATGTATATGTATATGTATATGTATATGTATATGTATATGTATACGTATATGTATAAGTGTTTACACATATATATATATGCATATGTGTGTATATACATATACATATATATATATATATATATGTAGACGTACATGTGTATACATATATAATATGCACATGTTTTATAGATAAGTGTAGGATCGTTGTTTGATGGCCCCGTGGCCCGCAGCGGGCACCCCTGGAGACCCAGAGCAGTGCAGCATCCGCCGGGGAGGCCCCCCGATCGGCCCAGCGAGGAGCAGCCGCGCCAACGCCCCTCGTCGTCGTCGTCGTGGTCGTCGTCGTCGTCGCCGTCTTCGTCGTCGTCGTCGTCGTCGGCCGGCGTTGTCGTCGTCGTCATCGTGGTCGTCGCCGTCGTCGCCGTCTTCGTCGTCGTCGTCGGCGGGCGTCGTCGTCGTCGTCGTCGTCATCGTCGGCGTCGGCAGGGGGGCCGAAGACGAGTTGGGCCGCAGGCGGCCGCGCCGCCGCAGTGAGGCCCGCCGCTGCCGTGTCTCACCCCGCCGCCTGTCCGTCCAGGGGCGGCGCCCGCGCCCTGGTCTCTGCCTTTCGGCGGCGAGCGAGGGGGGGGAACTTTCGGGTTTGAGGTTTCGAGGTTCCAGGTTTTCGGACGTTTTCGTCGGGTCTCTCGGCGGTTCTCCAGCCTCGGGATGCCTGCCAGCAGCTGCGCCTCGCCGAGGGCGTTCCGGGGGTGCCCCGATCGTCCTGAACGGCCGCCGGAGACCCGAGCTATGAGCCCCAAACCGAATTCGGCGGTGCACCCAGGGGGGGGGGGGAGAGTGAGAACGAGAAGGCCTCCTCAGAAGGCGGCGGGGCTTCTCAGGAGCCCTCGCGCCCTCTGAGCAGTGCTCCGTGCCCTCGGGGCAGACAACTTCTCCGAAGGCTGGGGGACTGCCGAGCCTCCTGCGACGGCCCGTCCCTTCCCCCCTCGCCAGCCGCCGAACCTCGCTCTGGGGACCCTCCCCGGGCCCACCTGGCGGACTGGTTCGACTCCAGCTCGGCTCCAGTCGACCAGACGATCAACACATCCGGCACGCCCTGACAATCCTGAACCGTTCCAGAGCGCAGTTTCTGGTACGTTGACCACGCAAATTAGCGAAATTCTTGCAAATGCTTTAACGAATGTGCGCGGCGCAAAGGCGAGAGCCACATTGTGAAAACGAACCGCCCTCTATCCGTGAAGCTCTTGCAATTCTAAGACGAATGTGTGCGGCGCTAAGGCGAGAGCCGCATTTAGGAAACGACCCGCCCTCCATCCGTGAAGCTCTTGCAGCTTTTAAGTCGAATTTGCGCGGCGCTAATGCGAAAACCACATGTTGAAAGCCACCTGCCCTCCATCCGTGAAGCTCTTGCAAGTTTTAATATGAATATGGTCGGAGCTACGAGAGGTACATTTTGAAAACCACCCGACCTCAATTTGTGGAGCTGTGGCCAATGTTCGATTTTTAGGGTCATCAGTGGTGAGGAAGTCTCAGGCGAAACGCCCGGCCCGCCCTTTCGACCGGCCTCAGGGCGCAACAAGGAAAAGGAATGGAGCAGGAGGAGGAGGAGGAGGAGGAGGAGGAGGAGGAGGAGGAGGAGGAGGAGGAGGAGGCGTCGTAGTCGGAGTCGGAGTCGGGGTCGGAGGAGGAATTGGAGGAGGATCAGTCGGAGGACCAGAGGAAATCAAAGGTGCACCAAGCGAAGCTGCAATACGTCCCCCCGTCCCAGGCCCCTCTTCACAAGTCCATACGGGCGCCCCTTGAAACGAGCGGCCATTCGGTCCGCCAGTCCTACGAGGGCGCCTGTTGTAAATGACCTTCCCTCCACTTGAGGGACGCCCATGGTAGCCCCGTTTCGTGAAGCACATGCGACCCATCCGTCCAAGCATTGCAGGTTGTCGAAATCGTGGACGTAGGATCCGCGGAAGTCCCGCGCGAGAGCCCGATGACATCCATGCGTTGCAGCGTTGCAGGATGTCCGTGACGTGGGCGTATGCTCCGCGGAAGTCCCACGCGAGAGCCCTGTGCCCTCCATCCGTTTAAGCGCTGCAGGATGTCAAAGTCGTGAGCGTATGCTCCGCGGAAGTCCCACGCGAGAGCTCCGATTCGAAAGAGGAGTCGCCCTTCATCCGTGCTCGCTAGTGCACAATATGGAACGCCTGGTTGTAGAGGTCGAGGAAGGGCCAAGTGAGTGTAGATGGTGGACTTTGTATTCGAATGCTCTCGAGGCTGAGGGAGACCCCGGGGCGTTCGTTAAGGAATGTGCCCAGAGGCTGCAGACCCTGGAGGACCTCTTATTTGGTGAGGGTGGCGGTTATGTCCATGGCCGGTCCACGATCGGAATTCCACTGGCTTCCAAACTCTGGATTCCTTATCTAAGGGTTCCCTGTCCAATGTCCCCGCAGTCTTGGAATGCATTCGCCATCCGCTCGCGCAGCTCAAGACAATTTGGAAGCCGAGTATGCACGCCGCAAGGACGAGAGCCCCTTTTTTAAAACCGCGTGCCCTGTATCTGGTCATTGGTTGTGCAAAACGATGGTGTACAGCGCCAGCACATCCAGAGCCCCATTGTCAACACCGTTTTTGGTCCACGCGTCAACGCGGTCTGAATTCATCTGCTCCTTGATGCCTCCTGCGGCGACGAGGACGATGAAAATGAGGATACGGATGCTGTTGGTGCTGGTGGCGACGGCGAGCCAGGAAGCGTTTTGGGAGGGATCTGTAGCGCCTGGGAACGTCTTGGGGCGTCTTTGAGCTTTTGGGGCAGGCTGGGGTTCGCTTGGGTCCAAAGTCGGAGTCGGCGAAGGGTGCCCAACACGTATCTAATTGTTTCACTTATACATACATGTATATACAGTTGTATGTGTACATGTTCACAGAGTTATGGTTGTTTTTGCTTCTTGTGCACAGGGTTTTTTTCGGGGCCAGGTGATGGGTTGATGATGAAGATCACGCGCAACAGTGCTTGTTTTTTACATCTGATGGTGAGGGTTGGGTCGGTTGGAGGTGTGCCGATTTGTATTGTGCCGCGCAGGATATTGAGGGCCGGGTCGGATGGATTCGCACCGAATGGTATTTCTACATCGGATGATGGGGGCGGGGTCGTATGGGTTCGCGCCGAGTCATTTTTACATAAGGCGGTGAGTGTTGGGTCGCATGGGTGTGCACATGCATGCATTCGTTGCGTGGGATGGTGGGGGTTGGGTCGCGTGAGTGTGCGCGGTGTTGAGGCGAAGAGCGTATTTTGAAAAGGAGCCGGCCTCAATTTTTGAAACTGTTGCAAGTTTTGAAGGCGAATGTGCGCGTCGCTTAGGCGAACATCGCATTTTGAAAACGAGCCGGCATCCATCCTTGATAGTTTGAAAACAACGAAGGTGCGCGGCGGTACTGCGAACACCACATTTTGGAAACGACCTGGGCTCCGTCTTTGAAGCTGTAGCACAAAACGTCGGGATCTCAATCGGCGACGAGCTGTCCGGCGAAATGCCATGCCGGGCCAACGGACACGTCCGGTGGTTCGACAGGGAAGAGTTACCTACAACGAAAAAGAGTGGATGAGGAGGGGGAGGCGGAGGAGGAGGAGGAGGAGGAGGAGGAGGAGGAGGAGGAGGAGGAGGAGGAGGAGGAGGAGGAGGAGGAGGAGGAGGAGAGGAGGAGGAGGAGGAGGAGGAGGAGGAGGAGGAAACAACGGAAAAAGGCAACCACCCCAGACCACGCAGGAGAAAGCGGCGCCTTCTTCCCGCCAGGGAGCCGCCTTGCGGCGCGCGGGGAGCGAACGGCCCCCCCGCGCCAAGCGGGCCGCCCGGCGGCCGCGGCCGGTGCCTGCCGCTGTTGCGGCAGCGCGGCCGGCGCCGCGCCTCGGACGTCTGGCTCTGCGCCGCCCGCGGGGTCAACAAAACTCGCCTCGGCCGCCGCTGCCGCTGGCGGCGGCGGCCGCCGCCGCGCCGCCCTGCTGTTGCACGCCGCCGCCGCCGCCGTGCCGCCATGCCGCTGCTGCTGCTGTCCGCCGCTCGGGGGGCCGTAGTTGGGTGCCTGCGCGGAGGGTGGAGCGGAGCCCCCGCCCTGCGGCCTGGCGGTGGCCTGCCCGCCTGCAAGGAGGCGGGGGGGGCTCCCCCATGCTCTGGTGCTGAGGGCCCCGGGGCGGCCCAGGAGGGCAGGGCCCAGAGGGCCCCAGAAGGACACCGAGCGTCATAGGAGGAAGAGATATCGAGACCTCTGCTCGTCCTGGAGAACCCTCGTCGACACGGCTGCGCTCTCATTGAAATCCTGGTCAGACCGCAGCCCGGGAGAGGTCCAGGGAGTAACAGTATCGGTACCTGTTTGCCCCCCCAGCGGGAACCCCAAGACGGCCTCGAGGGGCTCCAGAAGGCCCATGAGGGCCCTAGGACAGCCTGAGAGCGGCCTCAAGAGAGCACCCAAGAGGGCCCTGGATTGCCCCAGCGAATAACTGCACGACAACTCCAAGACGGCCCAGCAGGGCTCTTAGAATGCAGCGACAGCCGAGTGCGTTTGACATCGATCATCGGCCACGCGTGTTGCGTTCCCACACCATTTGGCCACGCAGTCTACCCCAACAGGCAGAGGGCGCCATAGCCGGCCACATGGCTGCCGCGTGGTTCACACAGGTTGCCCAGACCTCTGATTTATTGTTTTTCTTCGACCCGTGGGCCCCTATCCGTCCCCTCTCCCTTTCACTCTGCATCCGCACGAGGGGTCTGGTGAAGCCAAGGGGGGCATACGTCCCGAGGACGTGCGGTCAGACGCAAAAATGGCGCAAAGCGCGATCGCATGCCCTGGCCCGCGGTCACAAAGTGAAGCTTGCGCGCGCGACTGCTCTGCCCACATGTAGTTTCGGTAGGCTTGTGTCTGCGGCCGAGCGCGCCCTGGAATTCTGGGCCAGGACGGGCCCTGAGAGAGGTCCAGCGGCCAGCCGTCTCGAGCGGATTTTGGTCGGAGGCGCTGTTGTCGTCGTCGTCGTCGTCGTCGGCGTCGTCGTCGGCGGCGGCGCCGCCGCCGCCGCCGTCGCCGTCGCTGTCGCCGTCGCCGTCGCCGTCGTCGTCGCCGCCGCCGCCGCCGCTGGAGGGACCCCGAGCCCTGGCGTTCCTCGCTCCCGCCTCTGCAGCCAACGCCAACACATGCGGCGGGCTCACGCCGTGCCGACGCGGCAGCGGCCCCGCCGCGGGCACCCAGGGCTGAAGCGCCGCCGGTGGCCCCGAGTCGGCCGAGACGGCACGAGCGTCCGGCGATCGAGGTGCTGCTGATCGTTGGAGATCGAGCGATCCGCGCGGTGTCAGAGACCAACGCCGGGGTCGTCACGACCCGAGCCCGGCGTGGCCAGTCTCCGCGTTACCCCGCGCAGCCTCAACTTGTACGCCCCACGTCGGAGCAGGAAGGGCGGCGTGCGCATCTATTTTCCGAGGTCCGCACAGATTTCTCGGGTCGGCGCTGGGCGATAACTGGCGTCGCCTCTGGCGCCACCCCTGGCGCGCTCCGCGCGCCAGGGAGTGGGGTCCAGCGCCGATCCACGAAATCCGCATTCGTCGTTGTCGTCGTCGTCGTCGTCGCCATCATCGTCGTCGTCGTCGCCATCATCGTCGTCGTCGTCGCCGTGCGAAGCGTTTGCCGAGGAACACCCGTGGTTCGACGGCTTCCAGTGGGAGGCGTTGAGAAGCCAGCAGCTGGAGCCGCCGTACGTGCCGCAATTCGAGGCTCTGGCAAGGGAGCGGGGGAGGTGACGGGTATGAAGTGACGATGATGGTGATGATTGGCAGTTTGTTTTACTATCACCGCCGCCGCTATCGTTGTCCTCGCAGCCTGAAATCAACAAGCGTGCGCTGCTCTCGCGGTGGCTTTTCCCTCGTGGTGGCTTTTCCTTCGCAGGGGACGGATGGCTCTTTCGGTGGCAGTGGTGGTGATGATGCGGACAGCGATGATGCGGGTGGCGGTGGCAGCGATGACGGTGATGGTGGCAGTGGTGATCATAGTGGCGATGGGGATGGTGATGGTGTCGGTGACGACGGTGATAATCACAACGATGGTGGTGGTTGATTCTGATGGCTAAGAGGAGATGAGGTCTTCATGATGATGTATATGGCGATGACTGGTCTTGGGAATTGTAATGTCGTTGATGATTGTCTTGATGATAGTGCTGCTGATACTAATGACGATGATGATAGTGATGATGATGATGATGATGATGATGATGGTGATGATGATGCTGGTGATGCTGCCGATGATGATGCTGCAGATGATGATGCTGCAGATGATGATAGTGATGGTGATGATGCTGCTGCTGATGATGATGTCGACGATGATGATGATGATGATGATGATGATGATGATGATGATGATGATGGTGGTGGTGATGATGATAATGATAATGAGAATGATGATGACGACGGTGGCGATGATGGTCTTGATTGTGCTGATGATGCTGATGATGATGTTGATGACGACGATGATGATAACGGTGATGACGATGCGATCGATGATGTTGATCTGATGCTGATTATGACGACGATGACGATGCTGATGCTGATGATGATGATGATGATGGTGATGGTGATGATGATGCTGATGATGATGCTGATGATGATGCTGCTGCTGATGATGATGACGATGCTGATGATGGCGATGATGCTGATGATGCTGATGGTGGTGATGACGATGACGATGATGGTGATAACGATATTTCTGCTGATGATGCTGCTGCCGATGATGGCGATAGTGAGGATGGTGACGACGATGCCGATGGTGATGATGGTGATGCTGCTGATGCTGATGATGGCGGGATGGCGATGGTGATGGTGATGGTGATGATGCTGATGGTGATGATGATGATGATGATGATGATGATGATGATGATGATGATGACGATGGTAAGGATGATGTTTGACGATGAAGATGATGATGACGATGATGATGTTGATGCTGCTGATGATGCTGATGACGATGATAATGATAATGCTGATGATGATGGTGTCGATGCTGATTCTGATGATGAGGTTTACGGTTATGTTAGTATTGATCATGCTGAGGAGGAGGAAGAGGAGGAGGAGGAGGAGAAGGAGGAGGAGGAGGATTATGATGATGATGCTGCTGATGCTGCTGCTGCTGCTGATGTTGTCGGTGATGATGCTGCTGCTGATGAGAATGATGGTGATGATGATGGTGATGGTGATGCTGCTGATGATGATGCTGCTGCTGATGATGATGCTGATGATGATCTGATGCTAATGCCAATGTCGACGACGAATTTGATGATGATGGTAAGTATGATGGTGATGGTGATGGTGATGATGACGATGATGATGATGATGATGGTGATGCTGATGATGCTGCTGATGATGATGCTGATGATGCTGTCGACAATAATGACGCTGATGATGGTGGTGGTGATGATGCTGATGATGATGATGCTGCTGCTGATGATGATGATGGTGGTGGTGGTGGTGATGCTCATTATGATGATGCTGCTGCTGATCATGATGCTGATGATGATGGCGATGATGATGCTGCTGATGATAATGCTGTTGATGATGATGATAGGGCTGCTGATGCTGATGCTGATGATGATGCTGCTGCTGATGATGATGATGATGCTGATAATGGTGATGCTGTTGGTTCTGCTGATGATGATGACGATGCTGCTGCTGATGATGATGATGCTGATGATGTTGATGCTGATGATGATGACGATGATGATGCTGAGATGATTAATGCTGAGATGATGCCTCATGATGATGATGAGGATTTGATGATGATGATTATGATGATTATGAATGATTATGATAATGAGGATGATGATATGATGATGATGATGATGATTATGATGATGATGATGATCATGATGATGATGACTGAGATGATGATGATCTGATGATGATGATGATGATGAGATGATGCTGATGATGATGATGATGTGATGACGAATGATGATGCTGTGATGATGATGCCTGATGATGATGCTGCTGGATGATGATGATGATGATGATGATAGATTTATGATGATGATGTGATGAATGATGAATGAAAAATGATGAGGATGATTAAGATGATGCTGGATTCTATGCTGATGCTGATGATGATGATGATGATGATGAAAATAATGAGATGATGCTGATGATGATGATGAGATGATGATGATGTGATGATTGATGAATGATGATGATGAATGATATGATGATGATTGATGATGATGAATGATGATGATGATGATGTGAGGTGATGATGATAGGGGGGAGGTGTAGGAAGAGAGGTGGAGGAGGTGGAGGAGGTGGAGGAGAGGAGCAGGAGGTAAAAGAGGAGGAGGAAGGGAATTGACGAGAGGAGGAGGAGGAGGAAGAGGAGTAGGATGAGGGAGGAGGAGGAGGAGGAGGTGGAGGAGGAGGAAGAGGAAGAGGAGGAGGAGGAGGAGGAGGAGGAGAAGAGGAGGAGGAGGAGGAGGTGGTGGTGGTGGTGAAGGGGGAGGAGGAAGAGGAGGAGGAGGAGGAGGAGTAGGAGCGAGGAGGAGGAGGAGGAGGAGGAAGAGGAGGATAATAATACGAATAATAATATTAGTAAGACGAATAATAAGAATAATCGTAGTAATAAGAATAAGGAATCATACTAATATTAATAGGAACAATAAGAATAATACGACTAATATTAAGACAAAAAGTACTAATACTAAGCAGACTAAGACTAATACTATGAATACACATAATATTATTCATAATAGTAATAATAGTAGTAATCAGACTAGTAGTAATACTAATGTTAATAATAATTTTATTAGTAATACTAATCATAACAATAATGAAATTAAGAATACTGATAATAATGATAATGATAATAACAATAATAGTAAGAATGAAAATAATAGTACTACTAAGACAAAGAGGAGGAGCAGGTGGAGGA